TTGCATTCGAATTCTGTAACGAGCGTAACCTAACCTAACGATCCAACCCGGCCGGCCCGTCGATTCCGTCCGGTTCAGCTGTCGATTTGTGTATCGCGCGCGCGCTTGAAATCGGTTCGCAACGCATTGGTCCGTGGGCGCGCGTGCACGGGAACAGGCGCGAACACCACGTTCGCCCGGAGCGCCTACCGTCGGCAGCAACGTGAACGCAACGTACGCCCTGAACCCGCGCCGGAACGCGTTGCGTTGAACCGATATCGCAACCGTTCCACGTGCCGGTTACGACGACCCGTCACGACGGTTGCAGCGCGCGCGCACGAAAAACAATTCCGCCAAGGTCGTCGCGAAATCGTTAATTATATAACTCGCGCTGTTCGAATGTGGTACGCACGTGCGTTCGCGTTTGCATGTTGACACACAACGCGTCCGAAAAATCGGAATCGGTTATTCCGCGCGCTTAACAGCTCACGACGAGTGAGAACGCGTGAACGGGGGGGGGGGGGGGGGGATAAGAAACTGTCGACAAAAAGCCGCACGAAAAAGAAAGCGACGGGTTACGGGTACGTTAAATATGGTATTCAAACACGATAAATCGGTGGGCAGTTCATAGTTCAGACATTATCGACGCGTGTGTGTTCGCGTTGCCCGATTCCCGCTTTACGACGAAGCGGGAAATCGATATCCCGAATTTTTTTTTTTTTTTTACAACATTACACTTAGATAAGTTGTGTAACCTACGTGTTAAAAAAAAAAAAAAAAATCGCCCTTGGGTGGAGGCGTTGAACCGTTCGATTATTGTTTTATCTCTGTGGAGCGGCAAAACGTAACCTCGGCCACTTGCACGTGGAAACCCTCCCGCTCACGTTTTAACACTTGCCCGAAGAAATATTCGACGATTTATGGGACGCGAGCGTTCCCTGTTCGCCGACAGATCGGTGTACGGTCACCGTTGTTCCAGGGGCGGGAGCCGCGGCGAACGCACGACCACGACGTGACGGCGGACGGGTGTTCGGATGATTTCGTTGAGAACCGAACTGAAATCGAAGACGAGATGAAATCGGTTCGGCGGCATCGACCGCATTGCGCGCAACACGCGCCCGATACTGCTGCGATCCTGGTACCGCGGATGACGTGCCGGCCGGTGTTTGCTCGGAGAAACGAACACCGGCAGCGTGCCGTGCGCGCGGCACATGGGACCCCGGTCGACGAAGACGCGAGTGTGACGCAAGAGCGTTTACTTGATGGGAACCGAACGCGTCCGAGGCGAGGACTAACTAGGGCGGGGGACGAAAAAGAAAATAATATGACAACGTGGACGATTAATCATATGAATTTGGTCCGTACCAGCATGGTTTCACGCAATTTTTTCCCCGTTTATTTCCCGTCCGAGCACTTTGACGTGCCAAAAAACGTGGACGATTTTCATTACAAAATCCTTAACATCGCGTCGATCACGATAAATGAGATATTTATATATTGTTTTTACGTTGGAGCTTTCAACTTGAAGCCCACTTCTGCTTAATACTGTTGTACGAATTAATTAATTAATCTGTTTCGGTGTTGTTATTTTATTTATTTTTCGTTGTTAAGCCACTTTTATCGTATTGTAACGCGACTGTTGGGTATCAGTCAAAGGCAACGAGTGTCCCCCGATAGAGTTATCCAGTGAAATCCCTACAATATATTCTTAAAGTTAATTATTTATAGTCCTGTTGCGGGTTTTCAATGGGTCGTCAAACTCGTAACATATGTATATAGTTGTCAAACGAGCAATATGTTTATCGCTTGAACGTAAAATATTATAAATGAAACGTGTACACCTGATTAGACCACATCGTTGAATAATTGCGGTCCGAATGACAGGCGGAGATGTCACGCACGACGTATTATCCTTCGGATTATTATTCGTGAAAGATCATCTGTCAACCGTTGTTCTACGCATTGCAATTGACCCTTAACGGCTCAAACGGTTAACTTACACCTAGGCAAACTTAAGTTTTGCTGCCCCTTACGTGTAAATACTTCATCAAATATTATTTTTACATAAGCAATATTAAATACAATAGACATAATTCTGAGTTCATTATATTTATTCATGAAGAGTTGACAATTTATTACCGCACATAATTTCATATGAGTAGGTTATATCAATACAGTAATATTTTTTTTGAAAATTATTCTTAGTTTAAAAATGTTAAATGACGCCTTAAGCGTGGGACTATGTCGCCTACCCCTACAGACTGACCTGCGTATTTAGACGTACGGCCGATTTAATTAAATAAAATAAATAATTTAAGCTTGTGCGAGTCGTTTTGTCGTCCTGCGTCGGTATTCAAGCGTATTTCATAATTACGTGTTCGGCATTGCGACAATATTTTAAATATAATAATAATAATAAAAATAATATAATATATATTATTATGTATTTTATTTATATATATATATTATATATAATATTATTATTATATAATAATTTATATTATATATGATATTATTATTATATAATAATATATAATAATAATATAATAATTATATAATAATATGTAATCGCGATAACATTTTTCGATTTCGTCTATAGGATTTAAATATTGCCCACACGCGGCATCTTAGTTCGTTATCGCGCAACAGTGTATCCGCGTACTCCCTCGTTAATTACGTACAAGAGAATTTTTTTTTTTTTTTTTTTTAAACATTTCTGATGGCTTTCAAAAAAATCTACTCGGTCAAACCGAACTGAAACGTACCGGTGATGACATAATAATAATATTATAACAATAATAATCTGTACCAGGGGCGGTTCCAAAGCCTTGATTAGGGGGGGGGGGCTAAGTTATAATTTTATAAAATCTTATAACACAAACAACAATTTTTACAACACATATTCAAGTCGTCTATTTTTAAAATTGGCAAAAATATCAATAATATGATCTATTTGATCTAGAATATCTACTTTACGGGTATGATATACATTAATTAGACATAATGCTGATAGTCTATCTTCAGTCATCATTGAATGAAGCCTGGTTTTTAGTTTCCGAAATGTGGAGAAACTCCTTTCAACCGTCATACCTCTATGGCTGTATCTACATACTTGTGCGTGTCGTATGGTAGTACATATTATAATATGCATTTTTTGTTAACAATATACATTTTTTTATAAATACGGTACGGGCTTGAGAGGGGGCCACGGTCCCTAAGCCCCCTTGGAGCTGTCCCAGATCTTTACTGCTTTGTCGCGGTCAAGATTTTTTTTACGGCGCATATTATGTAATATTTATTCATAACGTATTCGTTGTATATCGGGTTTTTCGGTTTAATGTATACATAATTGTTATGGTGCTATGAGATCAACTGGTAAAATCACTTACCCTTGGACGTTCTGTGGCGCAAAAGTTTCGAAATAATGGTGAACCCACAAAAGGCCGTTGTGTGAAAATGTACAATCAAAATGCACAAAATTATTTTTATTTTTTATTTTTTTTTAATACGAAACGTAATATAATATTCAATATAGTCGACTGATCGTAAATATAGCCCAAAGTATTTAGTCAATGTAAATTATAAATATTTATTTCCCACGTAGTGATTGGTATGCAACGCTCGATCATTGTGTATGGTTTATAAATATCTAACAACATATTCTCAATGTACAAGTTTATAACCTACCTCAGTACCTTGTTATGAGACGATTTTTATCGGCTATGATGTGCTGTGGGATGTCGTTGGTTAAATAAATTTAGTAATTTAAATAAATAAAAATTTAAATAAATGTAGTAATTTATTTGCGGTATAAATTAAATCTATGATACTGTAGATCGTTAGTGCCGTATATAATATATAGGTGCGTTCAATTTAACATTTGCCTGTTTTTGTTGTAAAATGGAAAACGAATTCATTGAACATTTAAACGGTACTGTTTAATTGAATACAATAGTGTTTTATATATTAGTAATTAACATTTTTCTAATATTAATAAAAGAATAGTTAAAAAAATAAGTATTTCGTTAACAACTAATTTTTTTTTATTATTAATAAATTAAGCTACTACGCCCCTACCACACTAAAGTAAACCACTAAACATAGATGGCTAATAATTCTAGCCGTTGAAATACCTTCAAGAATTAAATTAAGTCAAATGTACATATGAATATTTTAGTTTTCTTAGTTAATTATGTTTTGATGGTAGGATAACAGTAAAATATAAAAATATGTGTTCGGAGAATTAATCGAATAAATTAATTAAAATCGAAAATATTAAATGAATTAGTCGAATAGACTTAATATTATGACATTTTCAATCCGTAGGTTAACATAAATATATATAAATTAAAATATGTATAAATTCTATTAAAAAAATCATCCATAATGGTCGAAAGATTTAAACCGAAATTTCATGCTCGCCTGACCATCCCATGCATATGAGATCAAATATCCATCCAATGTTTTCCAAAGTTATTCGAATTTTTATATTAAGAATTCCTGTACGCGGAAATCATCTTTTGATACGAGGGAGATAGTGTCTCACGATATTCACTTATTTATGATCACTCGTTCTCCTGTAGGGTCCGACACCGAAACCTGTTTGTTTAGGGCGGTTAACATGTATTATGAACATACTGCGAAGACGTGGCTATAACCGCGTTCTTGTCAATTATACCACAGACTTGTACAAAAAGGAGTGATCCGTTCACCATAAAAATGTTGATTTCGTCCTACAACTTGATCATTATTTAATCACAGCGCGCCCTTCGTGTACGTTGTTATACCACTGCAGGTCTTGTACTGTTTTGTACACAAAATGATACGGCATACTTCAGTATATTTTTTTCTCATATCCAAACGTACATTCATGGAAAACAATTACTTAAACAAGCATCGTATGTGCGCGTTCGCAGTGTTCGGATTTATTTATTATATTATTATTATTTAATAATAATTATGTACTACAACAGCTAACGCGTACGAAACTAATATTTACTACGATTTATTTTATTTTTCAGGTGAACCTCATAGCAAACACCAGCATAGAAGTTCGGCTGAAAGTGATCAACAAAATGCTTAGCCACATCGAACGATGCTCATTATCTCGAAGAATCACTTAGTCACCGCGACCGCCGTCGCACTAATAATAATAATAATAATAATAATAATTTTAATCTTATTTATAATTAATAATTTAACGGTTGGACTAATTATATGTTACAATGCATTATTACATCGTGTATGATTTTAATTTATAAACAGTCCGTCGCGGTTTGCGCAAGTTTCTATTGAACATCATCTCGTATAATATTTCAATATTATATATCATACATTATTATTATTATAATTATTACTATTATTATTATTATCGAAGAATATTTTGTGATCTCCGCATCTGGTCAATTCAGTCGATGATAAATTATATGTACTCTAGGATATCGAAAAATGTTCGCTTAATTTTAACATAACTATTAATAATAGTCTATTATACGCGCTCAGGCCTCTGGAATCGGACGAACCAGCTGCTATTATAATACCGGATTATTTTAAATTCAATACTTAATTTAAGTGTTTAAGATTAAAGGACACATTCTACGTTTCAATTTTTTTCCAACTTTAAGTCATTCTTGGAACGTTTTTGAAGTTACGGATAATTTTCACATTTCGACTATACCGGATTCTTGTGATATGTTAACGAATTTAAAATTTCCTATAAAAAGCCTTTAGTAGTTATAATCATTGTGATATTGGAATTAATTGTTTTTTTTTTTTTTTTTACAAATATTTTATTTTCCAATATGTTTTACGTTTATCTCCCTTTGAGGACGCAGGTACTAAAAAAATAATTCTTTAATATTGTAATATTTTTTTTTCTACCTATATACTTTGTTAGACAAATTATATTATTTTTGAAAAATTATTTTTTTCTTATGTCTTAAATGTTAAGCATATTATTCAGATTGTTTTTATTACCATTATCTATCATACAGACTTAATATGTTACTAATATAATACTGAAAACAAGTACTAATCGCCTCCTGCGTTCCCATTATAAATCAACACTAGTCTCATAATACATTAATTTTCGATAAAATTGTAAACCATAATCCTCTTTTTACATTTATTTTGTTTTTTACTGTTAATTTACCTATTTGCATTATATTTTTAAGGAACTTAAAATGTAAAATATTATTTTAATGTCTCGTATATGTGTATTTTATTATATACACATGTATTTATAATTTATTTAAATTCTTTTGTGATTGCCTTTATTGTTTTGTTTCAATTTTTATTTGTAGAATATTAATGGTTACATGTTTTTTTACCTATGTGTAATTGTTGCCCAAATGCCGATTTTTTTTTAACCAAATCAGAATTAGTTAATTTTTTTATTGTATAGACAATTATTTTTATTATTATTTAATATGTATAATTGTTGCCCATATATACCGGATTTTTTTTAGACTCAAACCAAAATTAGGGAATTAGTTAGAACATTATTATTATATTTATTTGATTCATAATTTAGTATTTATATAAGATTATTTTTTAATCAATTCTAAATGTAAACAATTGTAGAAAATTAAGAATTACAATATATTGTACCGAGTAAAAATTGTTGTTTAAACGAATGTTCACAACCTACCATTTTGTTTGTTAATATTCGCGTACAAACTTAGTTTGTTCGGATCTACCACAAACTTCCATCAACATTGAAAATAGCCTTTCTCCGACCATTAATTCCATCTTTAAAATGTTTTAGAATCGTTTTAATTTGTTAATTTTATACGGTTACACCAATTACAATTTTCTAATTTTATACCATTTAAAAATTAGTAATAATTAATAAGACTAATAAAATGAGTATGTAATATTGTATTTATTCGAAAACTAATAAAAATACAAGACTTCTTATTAGATGTTCTTGGTTCAAAGTAAATAGTAGTAGGTACCCAAAATATCAAAAAAAAGCATACAATAAACATAACATACAATAAACGCGAAAAAAGCAAAATAAAATGTCGTGCATTTTATTCTAAGTAGTATAAATCATATTTGTAGCTGACATAGTTTCGTATTAGAGCAATATGAAAAAAAATGCCTTCAAAATCCGTACTCCAGTCATCACTATGTTAAGCGCCAGTTCAAATCCGACTCAATGCAAAAAATATTCTGTAGAACTTTCCGTAATCTCTCACCCCTGCCATCATTCTGGTTGCCTACAGTGTCCCGCACCGGATCCACTCCACTGGGAGTGAAGTACGCATATGTGAAAATAATCTTCTCAGAGAATTGGGTACAAGTGCTACTGCACTCAACTATCCCTGCCATACGAAAAAGATTTCGATAAAGATCCTGACTGGTCGTTTCGATAAAACAGTTTTGAAAAAATAAACTATGTTGCATGCGAAAGGGTGCACATCCAACATCGTAACCAACCAGCGGGTGCTTCGTTTCACCATTGGAGCACGTGTCGCTCGCCAAAGTCTTCAGCGAAACCTGATTGATTTCCTGTGAACACTTTCGTACAACTGCGCCGAAAGACCTGATGTGTTTTTCACAACGTCGAATGTCGGACGCCAATAGCGTTTCGCGGAAAACGTTATTTCTCGATTTTCTTCGGTTTTTCCCTCGATTTTGACTAAAAAATTCGAGGGAGGATTTCACCAAGCAAGCGCATATTTGATTATGTTTGAATAAGTAATCTTTCGTGTTCTCGTCTTAGTATACAATACAAGTACTGTTATATGTATTGTGCGATAAATAAAAAAATTTAGTGAAATCATAATCTTATTTCAATTTTTTTACTCTTAATTTTTTCTATGTCTGATAATGTTTTTACAAAAAAATACCCTTTGTTCAATATTTTGCGTACGTTTTGGACAACGTATAAAATTGTTTAACGAATTGATTCGTCTTGATTTTTATTTCAAGAATTGTCATTTTATAATATGATAAAATATATCGTAATATAATAGATAACGTGTACACAGTATTGTCCTTAGGCAACTATCGTAACCCGCGTCCTCGTAGTATTTTAGCTATAATAATTAATAATATATTATATTTATATATAATATAATAAATAACTTATTTTAACAGTATTTTAAATACTAGAATACTAGAATAGTAGAATAGTATTTAAAATATAATTTTGAATGCGATTGTTTGTAAATATTATTCCTTGCTCCATTTATTAAGCGATTAACAGGTTTATATCGAGAAATAAGGTCTTTTATTTTTAAAAACAATTCTTTTTAAATAATGTCTTTTTTTTCGTCGTGTATCTAAACTCTCTTCCTCCGTTTGCTAAAGTAATTACAATAATAATGAGTCTCTTCTTAATACTTTATTATATTATGCATGTTGTAAAACAAAGCCTAATATCCAATTTTTCCAACTTGGAGTATTTTTAATTATGCCATGATCGTCCACTGGTATAATCATAAATTGTATTACGTATAAGTTAATTTAGTATGTTTTCGAACAATATTAAACGTTCAGTGTAGACACTGAACTTTACAAATTTTTTTTTTTTATTATCTCCTTATTGAAACGGTTCAACGTTTGCTTAAACTGTAAATAATTGTAGTTTGTGTTTTTTGCACGCAACGGTTTGCCATTTTCGGTAGTACATTTCCAGTAAATAAGTACATGTTATAATCCAGGTCTCTGAGTTAACAATTGAAGTCGAGTGTACATGAAATATCACAAGAGACCCATCTACCGGTTGGCACCGTGACACATGTTCTCGTGGACTGCCGGCCATCAGAGAGCACTGTACGAATAAAAATCGAGTACAATTCACGAAATTGACACGTGATCGAGTAAAACAAAACGTTAAAGCCTTGTGAAAAATGTTGTTGTGTGACTAGGGGGATACTTTTTTTAAAAAATAAATTTGGATTCCATTTTCCTTCAAAATTTTGTTTTGACTAAAATATTAAAATATTTAACTAACACCTTTGCTTGGTAAGCTATTTTTATTCATATAAATTCTTTTTTGATAGTTATTTAATTCGCATTAAACATAAACATTTCCTATTTTTATTTATAAATCCTTATTGGAAGAAAATGGTAATTGAAGGGAAATGGTCTAGATGTATTATATTATATTTTTATTTCTTTAAAGAAAATGGTCAGTGGGGAAAAAAGAATTTCATTTTTGGAGGAAAATTGCTACGGCTAACCTTGATCGCGAAAATGTTTTTCATATTAGTAATTAAATCATATAATTTTACGATTGAAAAAATGTATTATCTAGTACACTTTGATCGAAAACTTAATTTATATTAATTTACAAGGTTAAGGCGAAACAGTTTTATACTGGCAGAGATGCTCACCCTGTTGGAACCCAGGAACGGTGCCAACGGAAATAAGGGGGGATCTAGCCCTCCCCAGAAAACAGTTCAACCTCTTCATCAGCCCCCACCTACTGAAAAATATGTCTGATGTAATAAAGTCATTAAACATTATTTTGAAAAGAGCTACATCAAAAAGTTTATGAAATGTACTTTTTAAAATTTGTGATTTATTTTTATACACTTGTATATTCGAAGATTTGCGTTTTAAGTTTTTAGATAGACTCTGAATTGTATACATTTATTTTGGCAATTTACTTATGATTAATTCCATTTATTCGTTTTCATCTAATTGTGATTGTATGTTACGAAAATAATAGTACGTATATATTAAGTTATATGATACGAAAATATTTATATTTTATTTAAATTACCTCAGTATTTGTTGATAAAACCGAAGCCCATGTAAAAAAAATATTTGCCCCACTCTGCCTCCACTGGAAAAAATGTTTAATGCCGTACCAGCTGGAACCGACACTGCTGTCAAGGTAAAATCGTGGCCGAAATCAGTGATTTTCATGTTAAACAGCCATCGGTTAATATACGGTTGCCATTCGTCCCGATTTCGCCGGGAAACTGCCGGTTTTCAATACACAGTCCCGATATTTTTCAATTCCCGGCAGGGGCATGAATATTCTGACGAATGTGTTGGGGGAGGGGTACTGGCTTTTAATTTCTTATAAATTGCAAACCTAGGTTAATACCATGACTAAGACTATAATTTTACTATGATCGAACAATGATAATCGGATCGTTGTCACGGGAACGGTGCACTTTACTCGCCGAATATGACGGATTTTGTTAGTTAATTTTTATATTTTTTCCTCACTGAAAGTGTTGAACTTATTTTATGTATTTGAACTCCCACGACTATAATGATATACGGCCAACCTGCATGGCACGTTTGATTAAATAAACAACAATACTGTAAACGGGTTCATGTTGAAAAACAAAGTAGTTTCATCAGCGGAAATAAACAGATATGAATAATAATGCCTGACCACGGTCTTAACGCGTGTGAGGTACTAACATAAAATAAAAAACTGTTAAACGGCGATGGGGTGATAATAATACAATTATTCACGTTTTTCTTTTTCTGGCTTCTTATTTTTTTATTGGAACGTAATCAGCATTACATTAATAAATATATAATACTATAATGGATTGAAAACATATGTAGGTATCCAATAAAAAAAAATTTAAAAAAACTACTGATTAAAGAACTAATTAGTATTTTATAAGTTTACTCTTATTTCGGTCTGAAAGAATCGTAAATATTGCCACTGAAAAAAAAAGTGTATGGTATTAATAACTTTCATTAAATGTGAGATTTGAAGACACCAAAGCAAAAAAAGTACTTCAAAACATATACCTTTATCATTATGTTATACATGATCTGTTATGTATTGTATAATTCAGCAATTCTCAAACATTTTTGGGTCTTGGATTTCCAAAATAAAAAAAAAATTCAACTACTTTTCCCATGAATTATTTAACCAACATTTTTGTTTATTTAAATATAATCAAATTATAGTTTATCTAAAAATAAATATATGATAATGTGATATACAAAATAAATATTTGTCTTACACCTCCCAAGGGAGGCGTGCCTCACAGTTTGGAAACCATTTGTCTAACTTCTGATTTCTCATTTTTCAAGAATGCAACAACGTAATCATATTATAATTTTCTTTCCAGATTTTTACCAAACTTGTATGTTACATTAAAATATATCGCCATGGATTAGCCATGATATTAAACGAAAAATTTTCTCGTATATTT